TGGGTGGACGGCCCGATGGATAAGCAATTGGTTGAAAGGCCGCAGACAGAGGGTGGTGGTCAATGGCTCTATGTCCAGGTGGAGGCCGGTAACAAGTGGTGTCCCCCAAGGGTCTGTGTTGGGACTGGTGCTCTTTAACATCTTTATTAATGACATCGATGAGGGAATTGAGTGCACCCTCAGCAAGTTTGCTGATGACACCAAGCTGAGTGGTGCGGTTGATACGGTGGAAGGAAGGGATGCCATTCAGAGGGACCTCGACAGGCTGGAGGGCTGGGCTCGGGTGAACCTAATGAGGTTCAACACGGCAAAGTGCAAGGTTTTGCATTTGGGCCGGAAGAACCCCAGGCACCTGTACAGGCTGGGAGGAGCGGTCCTTGAGAGCAGCTCGGCAGAGAAGGACCTGGGGGTCCTGATGGACGAGAGACTGAACATGAGTCAGCAGTGCGCTCTGGCAGCTCGAAAGGCAAATGGGATCCTGGGCTCCATCAGGAGAGGGGTGGCCAGCAGGGACAGGGAGGTGATTGTCCCTCTCTACTCGGCTCTTGTGAGGCCCCATCTGGAGTACTGTGTCCAGGTGTGGAGCCCTCAGTACAAGAAAGACATTGAGATTTTGGAAAGGGTCCAGAGGAGGGCGACTAAGATGATCAGGGGGCTGGAGCACCTCCCCTATGAGGACAGGCTGAGGGAGTTGGGCTTGTTCAGCCTGGAGAAGAGAAGGCTGCGGGGTGACCTCATTGCAGCCTATCAATACCTGAAGGGAACCTACACCCAGGAGGGGAGTAAACTCTTCAAAAGGGCTGATAACAGCAGGACTAGGGGAAATGGTTTTAAGTTGAAGGAGGGAAGATTTAGGTTGGATGTTAGGGGGAAGTTCTTTACTAGGAGAGTGGTTAGGCCCTGGAACGGGCTGCCCAGGGAGGTTGTGGATGCCCCGTCCTTGGACGTGTTTAAGGCCAGGTTGGACGGGGTCCTGGGCAACCTGATCTGAATGTGTATGTTTGGTGGCCCTGCTAGGCAGGGGGGTTGGAACTACATGATCCTTGGGGTCCCTTCCAACCCGGGTGATTCTGTGATTCTGTGATTCTGTGACTGTTCTGCTTCAGGTCGAACACTGTACAGCAGCTTGTTGATGCTGAAAAGGAAGACTCAGTTTTTCCAAGAAGAAATTAAGTGTCGTCCTTTCTGCAGCAGTCCTGATGCTCACTGAATCTTTTACTGAGCTAATTTAAGGTAGGTTAGGCTAAATTAAAAATAAGAATCTCCTTATGCATAGGTAGAGTCAAGATAAATGGTCGCTTACTAGAATCATAGAATCATACAATTGCTCAGGTTGGAAAAGACATTCAAGATCATCGAGTCCAACCACAACCTAACCATCCTACCCTCACTTTAACAACCATCTGCTAAATCAGGTCCCTGAGCACCACAACCAAATGGTTTTTAAACACATCCAGGGATGGTGACTCAACCACCTCCCTGGGCAGCCTATTGCAGTGCTTAACAACCCTTGCTGTAAGAAGTTTTTCCTGATATCCAACCTAATCTCACCTTGGCACAACTTGAGGCCATTTCCCCTCATCCTGTCACCAATGAGAAGAGACCAGCCCTGCTCTGCTGTGAGCACCTTTCAGATATTTGAAGAGAGCAATGAGGTCTCCCCTCAGCCTTCTCTTCCCCAGACTAAACAGCCCCAGTTTCTTCAGTTGCTCCTTGTAGGGAATGGGAGTATTATGCATTCTGTATGCTTTCCTATCTACTCCTCCAATATTTTTTTTAATAAAATAATGAAAAAATCTGAAGTTGCTTTCTCACCAAGTTTACTGGTAAAGTGTGCTTACCTTCATCTTATTTTTTACTAAATGAAAGCTAGTAAAGGCATTGTTCTACTGACTGTTCATTACAATATTACACACTGTTAATGGAGGGAAAGTGCTTCGTAATGTAAAAATTCTATTACCTACAGTGTGTCATAAAGTGAACTTCTAGGGAATTCTCGACTGTAAACCCATTCTTGTCCAGAAAATATGCATGCATTTGAACACACTGAATGGATATTGAGTGCAAGTGTGCACAGATGGAAAATGTTACTAAATTTTACTTACATGTATACTACGTGTATTGTGTCAATAAATTAATTGTGTGTTGGAAATAATCAGAAACAGACATGGCTATCAAGTGATAAAGACATTTTACAGATACTTTGCTCCTCCTATCTTCCTTAAGAGCACTTTGATATGGAAGTGGCACATGTGAATATCTCAAAATGATAAGTCAGTGTTCAGATGGCTCTGCTGTTGTTTTTCATCTGGCATTTCAACAATGAATGCATTAATTGGTGGGGTTATCATATATTTCAGGCTTCATTCTCCAGCTGTTCATTTTTCCTTACTGTAGCTTCTCGGTGTCTGCCTTAAGAAAATATGACACAATGCACTGTATCTATTCCATTTCCTATCACTTTTCTCCCACAGACACTTTTGCTGGCAGCAGCAGCAGCACCAGCCAGAGATCCCCTCACAGTTTCCTGCTCTGGCATTCTGCACCGAGGGCCTGGTGATCTTCACTTTTATATGGATATTTCCAGCTTGGGACCTGCACTAGTCACTGCTTTACAGTGATGCCTAAAATAGTTGCTGATTTTACTGCGATGAACCATTAAATGTAGATTGAGAAGTCCTCTGGGTTGAAAAGGCAGGTAAGAGACAGATCAGATCCTGTCTTCCTTCTGAACTCTGGCATGTCTATGATTTTTCCCAGTCAATGCTGGGCTACTGCTATCCCTGCCCTTCCTGTAATGCGGGCAGCAGAAGGCCAAGAGGAGGACAATGAGCTGCCAAAAGCACATCTGCTCTTTCCCTTCCCTGTTCTCCCACCAAAGTGCTGTCACTGTGCCTGGAACACCAGCAATGCTGCAATCTGCTGTTTTAATTGAGTCAGAAATGGCATGTAAAAAATCATCAGCTACTGATTCAAAACCGTGGGGAAGCACTGCAGGGTTTATTGCTTGGTTTTGCTAAGCAGAGGCTCTTGATGCCAGAGACTCCATGGGCACCTCACCTGTCTCTTGCGATGCATCCATGGATGCTGCATGCTGCTATTTGAATTGGGCAGCAGGTGGTGAATTAAGAATTCAGCTGCCAAGAAGAAAAAGCTGTTTTCTTCCTTTTTTTTTTTTTAATTTTTTTTTTTTTTCCTCCTACTGCTTTATGGCTGGTAAGCACAGTTACCAGTAAGCTGGTAAGCAGTAGCTAAAGCCACTGCTGCTGCCCTGGGGGCTCTTGTCCTGTTTCTGTTACTGCCATTACTGTCTGTTTTGCTGTTACCTTGCTTCTGCTGCTTGCACAGCTGATTTCTGTGCTTTGCTAGGAATTCTAACATATTTTGTGAGGTGGAGATGGTGATTTGGAACTGACTGAAAGGCAAGAAGAGTAGCAGTAGCCTTTTCCTCTTATCTCTCTCTTCTTGGTTTTTTTTTTTCTCCCATGTTTTCTTTGATTGTTGCTTTTGTCACCAGTCTATCTCACGCTGACCCCAGCCAAATTCATGTTCCCTTAAAGTTTATTCCTTCAGGCAAAATAAAGCAGCTGATAAAGGCTTCCTTTAGTATAAAATCTGATGTTTTCACTCCCCTTTCAGTATGTGTTTCTGACACGTTCCCTTGATGTCCTAAGCAGACTCTACCTCTCCTTGTCTTCCTTTTCTCTATTCAGGCTAATGGCTAAGTTTCTGAATCCTTTCCTATTAGAATATCTCATGTCGAGTAAGAAGTTGAATTTTTAAAACAGCTGTCCAATTATTTTGGCTGATAATAGCTATAATTAAGTTCTGTGGTCACAGTTACAAGCAAGTGTAATTAAATTTCCAGTTTCATTGTATAAGTTCATCACATGAGGCATGAGGCAAGACTTCCTATGTGTAGCATGTAGGGATGCTGATTAGAGGAGCACTGATTATATTTAGATGTGGTAATGCCCATCCTGTTGTTATAGCTGGTATGTGTATTTATCTTACAGAATCAGACATTATGTATACTTGTGTTGGTAGATTTTCTAGCACCCCTCTTGAACCTGTTTAATTGCTAGTGATCATCTTGGATTGGTATTTCAGGCTTTGCATGAATTGATGTCTTTCTAACATTATGTTCCACAGGAAATTACCTCTGATTAGCAGTTGATTTAACTCAGTGGAAGAAAAAGATAAATATCTGGAGAACTGGAATAGAAGGATGGAAAATCACAGGAACTGACATTTCCTCTGTACTGTACAAGCGTGCCTTTCCCCTTGTGTGAAGGAAGTCTGGACTCAACAGCCTTGCAGGCCTCAAGAACATAGTGCAGAATTAAATCAGACCCTCCAGCGATCCACAGTAAAAGTTCTGAGATTGGTCTGAATTTGAATACTAGAATAACAGTGATATTCAGATGAGGGACTCAGCCCTTTCTGTCTTTGGAAAGCATTCAAAAATACTTTGTCCAAGATTTTCAAACCAAAAAAGTAATAATTTTATAATGATACTTAATTTTTCTCAAGATTCATCGTGAATGTGCCATTGCACAAGTCAGCCTTTCTAACGGTCTGTTAAAAATGCACTTGAGACTTTCCCTTGAAACATGAGGGAAACTTTATATTTTCAGAATGTTATGGTGGGGAAGAAAAGCCCTAAGGAAGGTGTTCATCACATCTTTGTTGTTATGTGAGGGTAAAATGAGGAACCTGAAGTACTTGCTGCCTGGTCTCCAGAGCAGAGGACTCAGGGAAGTTTCCTCCTTTTGTGGTGAGATGCTTTCTCATGTATCCAAGTACGAATCTTTGGAGCTTTGTCATGGTGATGGTGGTTGTATGGGAACTGCTGAGGCACGGCCTGAACCTCTGATTGATCACCTGAGGTGAGCACTGAGTCAGCCACAGGAGCACAGGTGAAGGCAATTCAGCTGTGCTGCTCCTAGACCTATTTAAGAGCTGGCTACCAGTAGGGAAGGATCTCTTCTGAAGATCTGCTTTGCTGGAGTTTTGTAAGTGAGCCCAGGATAGGGGTAAGCCTTCTATTTATCCTTTTTTTTGTTGTTGTTATCATAGTCTGCTTTGTCAAACTCTCTTGTTTGTTTCGTAATTATAACATATTAATACTCATTGATTATCCAGTGGTGAAGTATGTACAAGAAATTGCGTGCACAGAGGATTTGTAAAGCCAGGGAGCATAACTGGCTATGTTGTTAATTTTAGTAATGCGTAGTGATTACTTGACATAAACTTCCAGCCAGGAGTATCAATGAAAGTAAAATTTGTTTGGACACAACTTAATCTGTTTAACAGTGAGGAAACAAAAAATAAAAACATATTGTGATGTCCCTGTAGATTTATGGCTGTATGCCTGGATGTGCTTCAGTATTACTTCATTTATTTATGATTTGGTGGCTGCTGAGTCAGAGGAAAGGTGACAAGGATTGTCCTTCCTCTCTCTTGCTCCAAAGTACTCTGTCTGGCTTTGCATCAGTGCTTTCTTTAGTAGGGGTGCAAATCATCCCAAATACTCCCAGAGAGCTGCAGCTGTGCTTTATGTGATTATCAAGATCCACATCAGTCGTGCGTCACCTGTTTTATTACATAAAGATATGTAGAAAATCACATTTTCTCTCCTGCTTTACTGTTGTGTTGACCTGTGTCAACACAACTGTGTCAGTTGTGGCACATGGGCTTATATCTTTCTGTTTTCTATGGGTTTAGCGTCCCCATCATGCCTGCTACATTTGCATGGTGGCTTCTTCAGTGGCATGTGGCTTTCACATTTATACTTATAACCAGCAGGTTGTAACGATAACCTTGCTCTTGTAGGCCTGGAGAGGCAGCTTTGTTTTTGCATGGATGATAGGGCTTTCTTAGGCCTATAGGTGATGTATGATTTAGTGTTCCAGTCCGTGTTGTACCATGCCACCAGTATGATTTGAAATAGTGTCTGTATATGACAGGCGTTAACTTGTACAAGTCAGATTTGCTTCCCTAGTAAAATTGTGCTCTGTGGATTGATGTGAATGTGCTTGGATGAATGAGATTATGCATTGCTCTCTGAAGATGGCAGCAGCTGAGCACAGAAAATATTTTTACTAAAATTAAATTAAAAAAAAAAAAATACAAGTGCTCCTGCAGCACAAACTCTAACTTATCTTTTCCATTTGATGTTTTGTCCTTTATCAAGGCCTCCTCTCATGTTCACTCAGATTGGTATGAGATCTTTCATGGCTAGACTTCACAGCAGACTAAGCTAGAAGCTAATACCAAACATGCTCCCTCCAGGTGGAAAGGTTGCTCTGTGGTGTTTTGCTTGGCCGCTGTGCTACAGTTCGTGTATCAGGATGTATTTGGGCATCGTCCCTCAGCCACAGCTCTGCCTGCTGAGGAGGACACCCACTTGTCAGTGCCCTGAGCTGAAGATGATCTCTTGGTGAGGTTTATAATCAGATCCATTTGTGTTGCTGTTCCCTTACTTACTTCTCTTGGAGTTAAATTATTTTATGGCTCATCTAGACTGGAGCAAGTGAGGTGGTTCTGTCACGAGAGGTGTGAGGGGTAATGGCAAGCAGGATGACCTGGGTCAGTCCTTCCTAGCTGGTGGTAGTCTGTGTCCAGGATACCTTTGGCTTTTTGACAAGCAAGAAGATTTCCACTGGTATCAATTCAGGCGCAGCCATCAGTATGGAGGGTCCTTGGCTCCAAATGCTCATTGTGATAATTGGAGCAGGGTGGTACTTCACTCTGGAGTGTTTTGGAAGTGAGAGACCTCAGCACAGTATAAAGGAGCCTCAGAGTGCAAGAAACACTGACAATGTTAACATTAAAAGCTAAACCCAAATGAATTTATTCAAGATAATACCATAGCTCCACTACACCTCCATAGTGGAGATCTACTTTATTTTGATCCTTTATTTTTATCCTTTTGACCCTTGAGTCTATCAGCTTTCAGCAACAGTTGTTTTCCTCTGTTCTCTGTCACCACGTCTCTGATATATCTTGCTTGTTGCAGTAAGAAATTTTAGCAATATATTAAATGCATTGAGTTCACAAAACGTATCATCTCTTACCCAGTAGAATTTGTGCCAAGGATTACTTGTAAAGATTTTTTTTTTTTTTTTTTCTCATAGGGCTGTAAGCTGATTTTAATTAAAACTGATTTGAAATTGGAAAAATATCAAAAGCATCACCAATGCCTGATCCCTGGAGGCACTCAAGGCCAGGCTGGAAGTGGCTCTGGGCAGCCTGGTCTGCTGGTTGATGACCCTGCACATAGCAGGGGGTTGAAACTGGGTGATCATTGTGGTCCTTTTTCAGCCCAGGCCATTCTATGACTCTGTGATTCTATGATGCTATGAATGCTACTAGTTGAGGACCAAATTAGGCCTTCAGCATAGCTCTGAAATTTAAAAAAAAAAAAAAAGAATAGAACTAGCTTTTCTTTTACGGGAAACACAGAAATGTGCAATATTATTAGCAACATAAAACAAAACAAATTTAAGGATGATATTTTCATTAAAAAGTTTCCAATAGAATGCAAAAAAAAAAAAAAAAAAAAAAAGACAACGTTGGGCCCATTCCCATGTGCTGAGAATAGCGTTTATCCATACAGGGGAATTTCTTTGGCAAAACCTTAAAAAGTGGGTGACTTAACAGATCTAAGGAAGAGTATCTGTTCACTGGTTCGTAGTTATGCTATCACTTGTGTAGGCTTATGCTTGTTAGGCTGTTTCTAGGAAGACCTATTTTTTTTTTCTGGTTATTGAGAGTAAAAAGGTCTTTTTCAGTAAAGGGATATCTAGAAAACCCATTCAAACACAGTGGTTGTGGGGATGAATAAACAGAAGAATTGCTCCACTGCAGGAAGGCCAGGTAGGTTTTGTAGTAAATAATCTGTACTTATTCCTGATTAAATATATGGTTTTTTCCTAATGTAATTTAATGCAGAAAAAGTGAGCCAGAGTCAGCTCTATTTTAAATAAATTCAACTATAGCATATAAGTGAAATAAACCTGAGTGATTGTTTTATCACATGTAAATGTTACTTAAACAAAAATTTAGCCATTTCTTCAGTAAAGGTAGGATTTACATCATGTAATACAATTCCTGGAGAATTCAGGTTTGATTGATACTAGGCTCTGGCAATTTGAAGTCCCAGTACAGAAGAACTTGAAGTCCCAGTACACTGCGGAAGTGCGGTGGATTATAACAGATGGCTGTTTGTCTTGCCTGAAGTTCTGAGGGGAAAAAAAAGAAAAAAGGACAGAAAAAGCTTTTCAGAAATGAACTTTTTGAGAACACCGCAAGGTCCATTTTTCAGGTTGGTCAGCACTTTTGATCATTTGAACTTGCACAGATTCATGGATTCTGATTTCCTCTTGTATATTTAAAAAAAAAAAAGTTATCTATTTGATTTATTGCTGACTGCTTAAATATTTTGTAATTGTTTAATATGTATGCTTGAACAAAATGATTGAGCTCTTCATATTGTTTTAATGCATTCTCTACTCGCTTCTGTGAAGGAAGAAAGTGAAGTCAAATAAGAGCAGCTCAGTGATGCTTCACAGCAAGTTTTTGTGGAGGATTAAGTTTTTCTGTACTGGCTATGTCGACAAAGAGAAAACATTAGTTAGAGGAAAAAATGTTGATAGTATTCCCTGTGTTAAGCTATTAGTGACTGCCTTGCTACTCCACATCAATCTGGCTTCTCAAGGACTTCTGACAGGAGAAGGTCAGCATCCAGAATGTCAACAGAATAGGAGAAATTGATGACTATTATGGTCTTCCCCCAAAAAGATGCCAGTATTGCACCAGAAGCCTGAGTATGTTTATACACATGCATATGTTTATATTTTGTTTAAAAATACACTTAAGTTTATTTATCCCTGTTAGACGGGTTTTGGCAACACTTTAAACAGGCTAATTTAGAACTATATCTGTACTTCACGATACGTAAGCTGTGTCAAACAGAAAGTAAAGAGAGTATTAGGATATGTCAGTGTCCCCAATAATGCATCATTTCTTCAAAAGGTCTGTGCTTTCAGGAGAAGCTAGGAGTGATAGAAAGGGAGGAATCTTTTAGGGTGATTCTAAGGACAGTCGCATACAACAGCTTCAGGAAAAGAGGAAAAAGTCATCCCATTGAGTCTCTCACTACCTTTCATTAAATGTACCTGCAGTTCCTTAATCATTGTTATGTGTCACTTTAAAATATGTAATTTCTGTACTGAAGACTGTTTTTTCTCAACTATGTTCCGTGACGTTTAATTTAAAAAGAATTAGGGCGTAATTATTGCAGATGTTTAAAATATATCCCTTGTAAAATTGAGAACAGATACAGGAAAATGAAGTTAAGGGCTGCTATTGCATTTTCTGTTTGTTTGAAACTTTGCTGCATGCTTTACTCCTGTGGGAATGCACTAAATGGAGTGGAATTTTCATTTCATTTGTTATGATAGACAGCTGGTTCCTTAGATATTTCTCATATGCTTCATTTTACTAGTGAGAGCTACTGCATTGCTAGAAACAATGTATTTCACTTGAACTGTACAATGGAAAAATCACATGAGGCCAAAATCACCAGTAATTAATTGATTCCTCTCTCCAAACCATTGTCAATAATGGAACCTTTTCTTGTGCAGGATTTTAAACAAAGGCTCAAGTTCTTTAAGACTGAATGGGAAACTCTGTCATGTCCTTTTAACAGAACAGAGGATTTTAATCTCTTCTGTGGAATGGCTCCAAAGATCTCAAAAAGTAAGCCATTTTGCATGACATTCAAGCCTTGATTAATGCTTCTCTCTCACTGGGTCTTTATTGTCTTCAGTGGAGTTATCTATACTTACGTTGCAATGACAGGGATAACGTCTTCAGAAATCTCTTTCACTCCTATGCAATGTTATTTCTTTTCTAGCTTGGCTTCAGCAAGACTTTTGACACTGACTCCCATAGCATCCTTGTAGGTAAGCAAAGGAAGTGTGGGATAGATAAATGGACAGTGAGGTGAACTTAGAATTGGCTGACTGGTGGAGTTGAGGGTTGTTATCAGTGGTGCAGAGTTTATTTGGAGCCCTCTAACTATTGGTGCTCCCCAGAGGTCAGTACTGGGCCCATTCTTGTGTAACATCTTCATCAACAATCTGGATGAAGAGAGAGCATCCACCCTCAGCAAGTTTGCTGATGTGTGGCTGACACACCTGAAGGCTGTGCTGCCATTCAGCAAGACCTGGACAGACTGAAGAGTTGAATGGAGAGGAATCTGATGAGGTTCAACAAAGGCAAGAGTAGGGTCCTCCAGCTGGGGGAGAAAAAAACACAAGCATCAGTACAGGTTAGAGGCTGACCAGCTGGAAAGAAACTCTGCAGAGAAGGACCTGGGTGTCCTGATGGACAACGAGTTGACCGTGAGACAACAGGGTGGACTTTGGCTAACATGATAAGATACTGTGAGTGTGAAGCTGTGAAATCATTCAAAAATAATATATTTTGTTCTAATTTTAGAACCCAAAGAAAACTAACTGGAATACCTCAAAATATCCTGCAGAAAGTCTCTTAGTTGTGAATGTACATGCCTGAATAAGAACACGGCCCACTCCCTTCTCATGGCAACATGGGTTGTCGTAGAAGAAATATCTTGGGATATGGTACTACAAAAACTGTTGGAAGAAATTAGTAGAGCAGAAAAAGAACTCGCAAGCCCCACAACAGTGACAAGATAGCAGTGGTGGAAGCAGGTCCTGCATGGGAGCAAGAAGACTATTTAATTCCATTGTTCTTGCAGTGTCTCTTGTTTACTGTCTTTGAATATTCAAATGTGTGCATTGATGGGGACTTTCAGTTGATATGGAGATCAAGTAATTTTGTTTGCTGGGAATACTAGCAGCTCTCATAATAGTCAGCAGGGCAAACCCAAGGAGATGGTCAAAGTGATGGACTGCAAGCTGAAACTAAAAGGCTGTGGGGTAGGAATCATATTACCTCAAGAAAATGGAGCAGAATGGATGGAGGGACGCTGATTGCCAAGGTGTTCTGGAAAACATTATGTACAAGTTCAAACATTTGGCTAGTAGATTTCTGTCTAGAAAATCTTATTACTGTGTAACCTTGTTTGTGGAGAATGAAAGGAATCTGAGATAATGTAGATCTAGTGCCTTACTTAGTATCTATATTTGCTACTGCCAGTCAAAGGGATGTCTTACTAGGCTTCTCCTTCTCACAGTGTATTAGACACTTCAGTTTTTCTGCGGAACCATTCGTTTTTGAGCCAGCAGCTTGAGGATGTTTTTGTAACAGATGCAGTAGTTAGAGCTGAATAAAAGCAAATGTGATGATTAGTGTGGGAAGATTCTCTTAATTTATGACAGAATAGAGTGTCTTAGTCTTTTTGCAGCCCAAAGGCCTACAAATTGTAGGTTATTTATTGGTTTTCGTGCCGTCACTTTTCTTTTGCTGACCCTTTGTGGTTTTAAAAATACTGCCTAGGGCAAACATTAAGAATTTAAACTTCTATTACCCTAGCAGAACAGTGTCTCGGCAGCAGTGGCTAAAAAAGCACCTGATTTCCAAAGGCTTAATGGGTTTTCTGTGTTTTTTCAATCATTCCAGGATTGGTATGGTTAACCATCAGTGAAGTAACAATCATCATTTCATTTTACTCAGGTGCAGATGAGATGCATGTACTTGCCTCTCACAGCTGAAATAGGGGGCTGTCAGCTTAGACAGATCTCATTTTAAATGATCCAAAATGCCAGTGGCTGAGTGCCTTACCATGTTTATACTATGCTTTCAGTGTCCAGAGTTTCATAAATTTCCTTCACTGAGATGAAATTGAAATAGCAGGATAAGTAAAGTACAAATATAGCTGCCTCTTGGCCTTTTCAGTACACTTAGTGTTGGAAAAAAACAAACTGGGCAGACATAGTCCTTTTGCTTTGTCACATGTCTGTCCTGAGTCATGTTAGCAGTCAGGGGAGTACGTAGGTGGTCCTGTCTTAATGTTCTAATCCTGAAATAAGAATTGCAATATGCTGTTTTTCCTATAAATATCAACCATTCAAAATGTGAGGCATATTTTCCTTTGTATATCACTCACAAAGCCTACTGCTGGCTCAGATGATGTTTGTATCTATCCCATTAGAGAACCGATGTCCTTATCTTAGACAAAATGTTGCAACACATTTTGAGATCACATTTGCAAATAAGTTCCCTTATTAGGGAAGGATACTGACTGTTTTTCAGTGCATATAGCCTGTATAGTACTGCTTCAGTGGAACTTGGCTATAAAGAATTTCTTGAGGTAATTTAACTACTACAAGTTGAGCTACAATGTAAATTTTCTACTTTGCAACACCAAGTCCTGCTTTCTCTTCTGTAAAACGGTGCCACAGAGATGCTGAATCTCTAGATGAGCCCTTCCATGGTCTCTGATATAATGGAAGAATTTTCCGGAAAGCCGAGATTTTGCAGAGAGGCCCTGTAATAAACATTGTCAATTACAGCTTTTAAGATCTGGGATTTTTTTTCATTGTTGAGGAGTATGGGACTGAAGTTACAAAGACAAAATTCAAGTGTACAGCATCCTTATAATTGAAGCTAGATATCGGGTCACTGCCTGTGCTCAAACTCTCGCACTTGCGCTTAAGTCATTAGCAGCCCGGGTGGTCCAGGAACTCCCTTCCTTGTCTGTCATGATGAGATAATGCCTGGTTTGAGACTGTGAATTGATTTGAAACTTGGCTATCAACTGTACTCCTAGACGTTCTCACAGCAAAGCATTTGAGTGGTGTTTAGTGTAATATTTCACCAAGTATTTGGTGCAAGGGTCTCTACATGGAAATTTCAGGCTGCCCTGAAGATTGACCCTACACAGCTTTTCCTGTGTTTAAACCAGCTCTTTTGCTTAGATATGGTGATTAACAGGCTGGCTGGAGAAGCTGACTGCCCCAGTGACACTCTTGGACATGATCCTGGATTTATGCTGCAAAAACTTACTGCGTAGATGTTTGCAAATAATGAGTAGAAACTACAGTCGTGAAGACTTTTACTTGTAGCTGAAATGGATAGAGGATGTTTTGTACGTAGGTTAACATAATGGATCATGTGTAGTCTTTTTTGCACCACGGGCCAGCTGGTACAAGGAATCTGTTGAGGAGCAGTTTGGGAAATCTAACCCAATCCAGCTGAAGACATTACCACCAGGGCCTTTGCAAGACACCCATTGCCATCTGGGCAGTGAACAAACAGCCCCTTTGACAGATGTAATTCCCCATGTGCAAGTTAGCTTTTGTCAAGATTCTAGTACTAGACTAGACATTTAATTTATTTATTGCAAATTCTGTGAATGTCTGAGAAATACGTTTTTCTTATGAGTCGTCTTAAATTTCTCAACTGCACATTAAAACTGCCATTGACAAAGGTTTTTGTTTGCTTTCTCCTCTTGTTTTGAAGAGTTTGAGAGTTTAATCAATTGAAGTTCCAGAGAGGATTTTTTAAAGGATTTTTAAAACCTGCAAAGCAGTGATGAATTATTTTGAACTCCATGCTTTGAGTAAATATGTTGCAGTTTTGAACATGTGAAGGAAGAGACTTGAACAATAGAAATACTCACACCTACGTGGATCCGTGGTATTGTAATTGAAATGCATAAGTATTCAGACATGTCCATGGCCTAGGGAAAATCATGAGGGATATGCATCTACTTGGTGAGTTGGGTTATTGTTTGCTATTGGGAAGATAGGTATGACTGATTAAATGCAAAAGTTGAATTCCCATATCTCCAATGAATTTTAGGGTTTCAGAAACAGCTGCCCCTCGAGTTTCTTGCAATAGTACATTTTTTTTCCAATTGCTAACTAATATCTTCTACCTTTTTCTCGCGTTCTCAGGGTCTAATAAAAAGACAGATGGAACGTTTTAACCAAAGGTCTGGCACTGAAGTGAGTGAGGTTTAGCGTATGTTTTTATTTTGGTTTAAATCTGGTTTGTGTCTGCCCCAGATAATGCTTTTTAAAATTATAGCTACTAAACATTAATTATTTCTAATAGTTCTAAACATGACAGAATTTGTCATGGTAGTGGAGCTTGGCAATGCTTTATAAGCAACAATGTTGGGAGTTCATCATCTAAGTTTTAGATAATGAAAGCCTGGAGCATATAGAATCCCAAGTTACTATTCTTCCCACTGTTTTTGGAGCAAAAAAAAAAAAGGGGGGGGGATCTGTATAGTTTCTGCTTTTGCTATAACAGGAGATGAATTCACAGGGACAAAGGGAGATATTTTCAGATAAGAGACTGTGTCGTGATTTTCGAAGGTGTAAACTCCTCCAGATTACAGTACCTTCACCTAGAGTGGGCAAGGACATTTTGTAGGAGCAGGTAGTAAGGGCAAAGCAGGGCTGGGAACAGTAAGGCCCCTTTCTTAATCCTTCCTTACTGCCTTTCTGTCAAACAGTCACTTACTGAGACACTTTCAGTACCATTCAGATAATACTTTTCTCCAAATTGCACACTTATCTCGTTCCATTAACCAGACTCTTCGTAACGAAAGCAATTGAAATAAGTTGCGAACAGATTAAGGTATTTTTAGAATGTTTTTCTATGTGAATTATTTGTAGACAGACTCACAGCATTCCTGCACAACAATTGTTGATCAAACGTGCATGAGATTGTATAGGGATATCCTATTCACTTTTTCCTTCTTTTTTTTTTTTTTTTTTTTTTAATTTTTTTAGATGTTACATACTGAAACAAATTACTCTTCATGCTTACAGCCTAATCCCTACTTACACAGTTGTATCAGGAAGGTTTTTCTCCCCAGTATGAAAAACATAACTTCTGAAATGGGGAAAAAAAATCACAGACGAAGCAGTATCCCAGAGGTTTATGCATAAGAAATGGATGTTTTGTTCCATTTATGAATTTGTTGTGTAGGTGTGTTGTTAATGAAGGGACATGCAAGTTTTCAGCCAGAACATTTTTTAATAACATCACAGAAATTAAATATTCTCACAAGAAATACTAGTATTGAAGCTGCATCGACGTTGGTAGCTGTCAAAAAGAAATAAATAATAATAAACTATTTCCTGTCTTTCAAAAATATCATCTTACCAAATAAACCAGAAACATATCACCATCTGTTTTTCACATTCATTCAACCTGAGATTGGGATCAAAAATCTATGCAACCCCTCCCTTTTTGAGGGGGACTATTGCTTAGATCAAATCTGGTCTGCCTAGGCCAGTGTTCTGTTTCTAATAGGAATTAATGCTGGGAGCCTTAGAGTCTATGAACCGGATCAGTATAGAATAATAACTCCCAGCCTCAGTGTGATTCCAATTTCAGATTTATTTCTACTCCTTAGGAACTATATACCTGTATTCTATACTCCTCTACCTCTATACTATATACCTCTAGCATCATCTATTAGGACTTAAAGTTCAAATTTTCCTTTTTATTTTTTATTTCATTATAAGTTAATTTTTCTGCTAATCTGTTTTCGAATACATCTGTTTTCTTTACTTCCTAACAATTAGTTTCATAAATACTTTATTCTCCCTGGAGATGTGTTTTGTGTGAAATTGTGACTCAGTTTACACTTATAATGTAGTCTTCTTCCTTATGTGATCTCAAGGGGCTCTACTTCATTGCAGAGGTGCTCACTGGGAATAGGCAGTCCATGAGTATGAGACTGCATGCGTTAGAGAGAAACTTTGTAGATCATCTCGATAATCGAGACAAGGCATATATGAAATAAATTGGAAGGCTTGCAGAGAACAAGCAAAACAAGACACTTGCTTGTCATGGTAACTCTTGAAGTAAATAAGGAGCAAGCATGAGTGGGCCAGCACAGCAGTCTGATGAAAGCTCAGAGGAGGACTTGCAGGTGGTTAGTGACAGTTCAAACTTAACATGGCAAATCCAGGGTAAATGTGCCTTTACGTATAGCCGTTGATTGATTTGTGGGATCATCCCTCTGTGGTACCATCTCAGATGCTGAGGTGCTTTTTGTATCCATGTTAAGATAACTTTGTAATGCGTTCATTTACTGCTTGTAGCCTGGGGCAAAACAGTCCACTAGTATTTATCTTCATTATATTATGCCAATTCCAGTTGTTTGTTTATTCATTTAAAAATTGTTAATCTTTGCAAAATGCTTAGAAGATGACATCAATGGTGAGTGAAGTGCTATGAACTGAAAGCTGAGAGGCAAGGAGGAGTTCTATTAGGGACATATGACTGCTGAGCACTGATTCACGTGGCAGAAATCCTACTTGGCTGTGAAAGAGTAGGGTTTAGTGATGGCAATACTAGTTCACCAGTTGGATAGAGAACTACCTTTGCATGCTTTTGCATCCTGTAAATCTGGAAGCCCTTTCAACTCCATCAGTGGAAGACTGAACAATGCTGAACCATTTATCTCGGAACTCTGTCCACAGATGGGTTATCCTTATAAAGCTTGCTCATTTACTTGCAATGGAAAATGTGGCAAGAGTGAAGGAGGTTTTGATCTTTTAATTGATAAACTGCTCCTTTTTTTTCTTCCTTGTTTATGTTTTTGGCATTCACATCAAAAGTTTTTAAGGCAACGTGACAGCTGTTGGAATGCATCACCATGGTAGCTTTCCCTACTTATTTGATGCAACAATTGCTTTTTCCTTCATTACTTTTTATAAGGTATTTTAGTAAACAACAATTATAAACTCATTAGTCTCGTTTTTCTAAATGGAGCAGATAAATGGATATTACTTCTGACAAAGATGCATGTAATAAATGACAGATAGAGGTTGTTAAGAGAGGTTTTGGTTGAGATATTTTTTAGTGATTAGACTACTCCAGAAAATAATTTACTCAGTCTTATTGATGGGAAATTGGAAGTTTCCATTCCACTAATCTATTATCTAATACACTTAGACATGTTGATTGTGAGATTTTTTTGCTTTGAGTGTTTTGTCTAAGCATCTATGATTAAATCGTGCTGTAATGAGCTTAATGACAGTCATCAAAAGAGATGACCCTTTCCAGTCCAGACAGAATAAGCAGAGTAGTTTAACAGTCTGAGTCTTTTAACTCTTACAAAACTGACAAAACCAGATGCATGCAACTATCTGTAATTAAAAGGAGGGGAAATGGTTCCTTGTGGAATGTGAATTTGTCTTTTCTTGCACTCTAGGAAATTTAATGGCTCTGGATAGGTAGAAAGAAGATTATTCCCATATTGTGATAATTCTTCATCCTTTTAAAGCCTACTATGGCTATTTGTATGGAAAGCGAGAAGTCCTGTTTATTCATAGAGCTAGATGTGCTGCAAATGTGATAGAGGATACCAGCCAGTTGCTAACGTGGAGGGAAAACATTTAGTGGGGGGAAAACACCGAAGAAACTATTTGAATGAACAAATATAAGGGACAGTTAGCAGTATGTTTCAATGGCTCCCTTTAGCACTGTCTTGTGAGGAATATAAATTCCTTTACTCTACATTTTGTGGACATGCCTTGGAAGGTCCTGTA